GCCCTTTCCCTCCCATCACTAGAGCTGAAAGAAAGGGGGTTCGCAAGTGAGGGTGGCAGCTTTCCAATGTACTTTTACACTTAAAGTAAGCAGGTGGCATCAATGGGCTGTCTAATGACTAACAAGATAAGAGTGCAATTGATCTTTTTATTAACCTGTCTCCCTAGGTGGGTGGCAGCCTGCTCCTCCCTCCTGGGTTCAGTTACATTGTTCAGTTCCAGGAATCATTTTAGACCCTTTTGCTTTTTTGTCTGAGTTGATACTTGAAGCAAGGAGTTGATACTTAAAGCATAGAAGTTAGTCTCAACTAACTTCTATCCCCTCTGAACCTCCAAACTGGTAAATGCCTTCATAATTTGAATCTGATACAAAACAAACGTGTGTTCAATCCTGTTGATACTATTTTCATGCCGAATTTGAACTGAGGGTTTATTTGTCTTTCTCTTAGGTCACGGACCACTTACTCTAAACCTCAGAACTCACTCTGAAGACTATGGAACCTACATAAAGTAAGTGATTAACCTCCAAAATAAGACATGGAATGGATTAATTTGGGCATTATTTAAATGTGTTGCACTTTATCTATTAGTGGTTTTCTAAGGTATTATATGGGCTATTTTATAGTGGACAGTAGACTCATAATCCAGCGTACAACTGGGGAAAGAAGGGACCCCATGTGTGGGTCACCTGTCTTCCCAAATCAGGTTCTCTGTTGCTTGTTGCCTTAGACTGGATGCCTCCCTAAGTTTCTGACTGAAGTATTGTTGTGAGTCTAGTAAGCTCGTGCTCTGGAGTATACCTGGTCTTCACACATCATATCATCAAGTTGAGATCAAGTAGAACTGTTGTTTTCGTAAAGGAATCCAGATATTGTTAGGATGCATTTCTTCATGGAAGTAGAGCACAAAGCAGCCTAGCACAACTGTCTCTACGATAAGTGGTATTAGATGAGAAGCTATGCGATAAAGAAATTTATAGAGGATAGTGGCATGTGTCTGTCTCTGTCATGGTCATAGTTTACTTTCCTGATTAACTACTTGTATAATCCTGGAAGTGATCAACTCTGTATTAAGCAATCAACTCTGTATTGTAGAGGATCTTTTTCATTCCACTGATAGCAAAATGATTAAAAGCCTAGGATCCAGAGCCCACATAAATTCAAACTGTGGATGTGCTATTTATCAGCTCTGTGACTGTGGGCCTCAAATTTCCCATCTATAAAGTGGGAGAAATAACACTGCTTGCTTCCAAGAGCAATGGCACAGTAGAAACAAATTAGTAGAAGTAAGGCAGTTAAATACTGCCTGTCCTGTAGTAAGCACTAACTTCACTGAGGGACTGAAATGCTGCCATTCTCCCTCCGCACTTGGTTTGTTTCTCAGTTCTGTAGTCCAAGAACTTGCTGCTTGTGGGAATTATTACTAAGGGAATCAAACTCTCGGTTCTCCTTTGGCAGCATTTCTTCTAAAGGAGATATATTATCCCTTCATGTATATGCAAGGAAAGAAAATCACTGGCATGCTACTGCCCTTTGAATGCATTTCCGGCTAGTGCTAGGTAGTGCCACGTGTCAGATGACCTGGAAGTGGGTGCCTGCCAGTGTAACACATGGCAGAGTGGAAGAATCGCTAGAAGGCTCCTCAACATCTCAGAAATGCACATTCATTGGCAAGTAGAGTTTTAGGAAGCACATGAAAAGGAATTCACAAAGCAAAACACCTTTTGGGGGGTCAAGGCACACAATCCTTCCAAAGCACAAATTTGTGATTATTATCACAACTAGAGCGTTAACGAGCCTGTCTATGGCTGATGACTTCTTCTCTCCAATATGCTGGCTAATGGTCCGTGTTTCCACTCACATTCATCCTTCTCTTCTAAGAAGCCTAACCATGGAGCTAACTGGTCAGAAAACTAATCATTGGATGTCACCCCCATCCCAGCCATGAGCAAAATCACATTTCTCAATTCGATCCTCCCCCTATTTTCTTTCAGAACTGAAGGTAGCAGCAGATCAGAGAAAAGGAAGTAACACCAGGGTGTGCTGTAGAGAATGTTGGAACACATGGGGTCAATCCAAAACTAGCTATTAACTACTCTCTGACCTAGTTCTTCCCTCTCCAAATAGTAGCTAGCCTTTATACATTTACATAGTGATATATCACTATCTTTTTTCCAAAGATACTACTAAAGATAAAAATATGTGAAACTGATATTTTAGCATAAGTGAGATATCATTTATTTTGTTCAGGTATTAATTGCAAGTGCTATTATTTATTATAGCTATATTTTTACTTTAATAACCCAAATGCTAAGTGGGATTATAAGATTTACACAAGTAATCTACTGAGCCATTAAATACTATTAATTAACATGAAAAATAAGACATAACCAAAGTTAAGATCATTGTTGTATTAACCATGCTATTATAATATTTATGTGATATTAGTCAACAGTAATATTTACTGTTAAAATCATTTAAAAGGGTGAAAGTTGGTGAAGCAGAACTGATGATCTCTTCTGAGAACAGTTGTTAATAGATTATTTAAAGAAAATGTTTCTCATCTCAATGATTCCATCTCTGACATCATGATTCTTATGTGAATATTTCTTTCATTTTCCTTCTTTCAAACTATAGTAGATAATAAATTTGTAGATCTTAAAAACATACAATTTATTGAAAACAAGGCAAGTACTAATTACTATGAAAAGGAAAACATTAGATATTAACACAATGCTTTAGTATAATATTTCAGAGATTCTAAATTGTTTTATGTTAAAATATGTTAGCATTAGTTTTCTGGGGTCTTTATGCTATAATAAACTTAGATTGCTATGGTAATGTAAGAAACAGGAGTGGATAGTGTCTATTTCCCATGACCAGCATTGCAGGAAAATGTCATTGTTAAAAATACATGGCAAGGATAACATTTTTGGGCGCTAGTCCCAAATCTGCTTCTAACTTTCTGAGTGATCTTGAGTAATTAGCATCTATCTGATTAAAATTTTTGAGATCAAATTTGAAGAAATGAATAAACGGACTTCAAGGTTGAAGGCTGATTTTTTAGGGAAAACTCCGAAGCAACAAAAATATTCAGCTGCTTATAACATTCATCAGATGCACATTCTGCCATCTATCTTTCCTTAGACTCACCCACCTTCTCCTCCCACCCAACTCCGCCCAGCATCTTAAGAATGGAAGGGTCAGTTTAAAATCTGCATAGTCACTGAAAAAAATTTTTTTTTTATTTTTTGCTAGGCAGAGTTAGACAGTGAGAGAGAGAAACAGAGAGAGAGAGAGTTATAGACAGAGAGAGAGAGACAGAGAGAAAGGTCTTCCTTCCATTGGTTTACTCCCCTAATGGCCGCTATGGCCTGCGCTGTACTGATCCGAAGCCAGGAGCCACGTACTTCCTCCCGGTCTCCCATGAGGGTGCAGGGACCCAAGCACTTGGGCCATCCTCCATTACCCTCCCGGGCCACAGCAGAGAGCTGGACTGGAAGAGGAGCAACCGGGACCAGTACCCGGCGGCTCAACCGGGACTAGAACCCCGGGTACCAGCACCGCAGGCAGAGGATTAGCCAAGTGAGCCACAGCGCCAGCCAACTGAAAATTTCTAAGTCACATAAAAGCATGAGCTAAATTTACCTTTTAGTCTCACTCACCAGAAATTTGGGGACCCTTTTTTTTTTTAATTCACCTAACTCAGTTTACTGGAAGTGAGAGGGAGTTATGCCAAAACTTTTCCACAATTAAGAAGTATAAAAAGAATTCAAAGCATGGCCTCTGCTTTCTTTATTTTGTTTATAGAAGTAAAATCAATACAAAATAAATATTAACACCAGAAAAAAAATATGTATATGCTCATCTCAGGATAATACATTATGAATTTCATAGGAGTTGGGATGAAGAAATGGGACCCAAGATATACTTTTTTTTTTTTCTTTTTTTCTTTTTTTAATTTTTTGATAGGCAGAGTGGACAGTGAGAGAGAGAGACAGAGAGAAAGGTCTTCCTTTACCGTTGGTTCACCCTCCAATGGCCGCCGCGGCCGGCGCGCTGCGGCCGGCGCACCGCGCTGATCCGATGGCAGGAGCCAGGAGCCAGGTGCTTTTCCTGGTCTCCCATGGGGTGCAGGGCCCAAGCACCTGGGCCATCCTCCACTGCACTCCCTGGCCACAGCAGAGGGCTGGCCTGGAAGAGGGGCAACCGGGACAGAATCCGGCGCCCCAACCGGGACTAGAACCCGGTGTGCCGGCGCCACAAGGCGGAGGATTAGCCTATTGAGCCGCGGCGCCGGCCCCCAAGATATACTTTTGATAGTAAAGAGAGTTTGGATACATAGTGGTTTTTTGGGCCAAATAAGTTGTGGAAAAAAATTAAAAAACAAAAAAGAAAAATGCCTATGTGTAACAATACCACTGCAAATATAGTTCTGTGAAACTTTGTTTTATATTGTTGTCAAACCAGTGGTTAAGAATGATATACTACCATAGTTTTAATGATCTGTGATTATTTTAAAGTTTACTCTATTTGGGTGAATTGGACATTTTTTCATTTGATTATTGTTTATAGATTTTGCCTATATTCCCAGTGAATTAGGTTCTTTTTACTTTTTACTTTAGTGGAGCATTAACCCTTTGACTATAAATTAAAAATGTTACCTCAAAACCTAAAAAAAAAGAAAAAAGAAAAAGAAGGAGGAGGGGAAGTATCATTCTAAGAATTGTGTCTATGAAATACATGGAATCTGTTCTCTTTGTATTAATATCACATTAACATGAGAATTGTGTTGTAATAATTATCATGTATTTGCTGTAACCCTGAGAATCTAATGATGTATTAGTAAGTTCCTTTAAAATAATAAGTACCAGAAAGACTAGAAAAATAAATAAAGATCCAACCTTTGATCTCATGAACAAAACTCACTGAGTAACGTCATCTCTCTGAAACAGTCTCTGAAGCTCACCCAGCAGAATTCTCCCACTAAGGTCTCAGTTACCTTAGTTCTACCTGCTGGTCCATCAGCCGATCTCTTCGGGCTTATGATGAGCCCCACTATGAAGCAGCTGAGAAAGCTGCTTCCAGCACCCTTAAAGCTCTGTGAATTGACCTAAGGAAAAAATGAGATTATTTTCATATTAAAATCTAAAATTTGACTCATGTAAAGAAAGTTGGAGTTTTATACTGATTTTTTGTAAAGATTTATTTATTGATTTGAAAGGCAGAGTTACAGAAAGGCAGAGGCAGAGAGAGATCTTCCATTTGCTGGTTCACACTCCAAATGACTACAATGTTTGGAGCCACGCTGATCCGAAGCCAGACACTTCTTCCGGGTCTCCCACGTGGGTGCAGGGACCCAAGGATTTGAGCCGTCTTCTACTGCTTTCCCAGGCCATAGCAGAGAGCTGGATCAGAAGTCGAGCAGCCGGGTCTCCAACTGGCACCCATATGGAATGCCTGCACTGCAGGCGACAGCTTTACCTACTGCATCACAGTGCCAGCCCCTGTACTGATCTTGAAACTTCCAGTTGCACTGTGTTGTGAAATTGAACTGTATGCTGACAACAATAAGACCTACCGTTCTTCAGAGGATGTTGTATGCCTGCTCCTCTATTATATGCTTTAATTTATGTATGTCTTATTTAATTCTCATAAAATGTATATTAGAATTAAGATATTATCTCCAGTTTAAGGATAAAGAAATAAAGTTCAGAAACTTACTATGATCAGATTTAACAAATAGCAAGTGACAGAACCAGGATTTGAACCCAGATCTCTCTGAGGTTTAAAAAAAAAAAAAAACAACTCCTCTTTTCCTTTACATGCACCCTGTCAGACAGTGCTGCCTCCCTGTCTAATGAATGCTTTTGTTATATACTCAGGTACCAGGAAGATGACTGAGTTGACAGTTTTATTGCATGTATGTACATTAACATCAACCAATACTTATTATTTAGTCCCATGAAGTCAATGAATATTTTGCAAGCAAATGGGCCACAGATTCAGAAAAATCAATGAATATTTGAGTAAGCAAGTGAATTATGAAGAGTAAAAGCATTGTATGTGCTTTTGCTTGGAAGTAAAGGAAAAGCTGTAGTGTTAATAACACAGACCCAAAGCTAATGACTTAGCGCACCCCCAAAGTAGGAATCAGTCTGACTCTAAGTTAGGTTGATACAGCACATTCCATAACCTTATTTCCCAATGGAATGTCTGGATTTTGACATCAATATACAGAATCCTGTTCATGTCTCTACTTTTACATTCAAGACCAGTTTACTTCCTAATTCCATCTCATTTATTATTCACTTTCATTAAGGCCCGCATTGCCTTGTTTTCACTTTCCTCGTGTTCTTTTTTTTTTTTTTTTTTTTTTTTTTTTTTTTTTTTTTGACAGGCAGAGTGGACAGTGAGAGAGAGAGAAAGGTCTTCCTTTGCCGTTGCTTCACCCTCCAATGGCCGCTGTTGCCAGTGCACTGCGGCTGGCGCACCACGCTGATCCGATGGCAGGAGCCAGGTGCTTCTCCTGGTCTCCCATGGGGTGCAGGGCCCAAGCACTTGGGCCATCATCCACTGCACTCCCTGGCCACAGCAGAGAGCTGGCCTGGAAGAGGGGCAACCGGGACAGAATCCGGCGCCCCGACTGGGACTAGAACCCGGTGTGCCGGCGCCACAAGGCAGAGGATTAGCCTATTGAGCCGTGGCGCCAGCTCCTCGTGTTCTTACACACTCACTAAAACACGCTCTCACTGTCTTGAGGAGCTCCCATTGATTTTGCCTTTTCTTCCTTGTGCCTCTTAAATCCTCACTGTACTCAGCTTCCAGGATCTAAAGTTCTGATTTTGCCCAAAGCCTTCCCCATTAATTAGATATAAAATACTATAGTCCTTCTATGGAAATCATCCTTCCTCAATAGCCAAGGGCATTACCTGTGGTAAAATGTGTTCACTTTGTATACAGCAGGAATTTCAACCCTTAGACTGCACATTTCATTGATCTATTTTTTTTTCTGGTTATAGTAGAAACACTATTACAGAAAATTTGTAAATATCAAAACACACAAGTGGGAAAGTAAAAGCCATTATTTATGTCGACACCCAAAGAAAAGTATCATTAACATTTTGTTATATTTCTTTCTAGTCCAGTTCTTATTATCAACACATTTTTGTTCTGTTTTAACTTATACTCTCTCTGCCTTAATATATTTTTATCCTGCTTTCTTTCTCTTAAAATTAGATTCTCTAAGATTTGGTTTCACCCAGTTCGCTGGATTCGTAAGAACCAAGAATTTGTAGGAAAGAGATTTGACAGTTAAAAAGCCTGGGAAACCATCGATTCATTAATACCCGGAAGTAGTCATATTTATGAGATTGTTTACAAATATATCACACCTATAAGGTCTTAATGTGCAACTCCTGAGTAATTCTTTATTTCTCCATAATGTGGTACTTTTCTGTTAATTAAACAACTCTTATTTCACAGAAGCTAAAAAATATATCAGTATTAGGTGACGGAATAAGACATGAATTATAAAATAATATATCTGTCTTCTTGACTTCTAAATTAAATTGTAGTTCTATAAAACTATTTTATGTTCAGATAAGGTTGTAAATGCCTTCTTGTGGGTTCTTACTCCTCTGGGTGGGCCCATGTTAACTGTGTGAAAGATGACAAATTCTTGTTCAGCTTTTAACTTCTGAGTATCTATGCCATCCTCTCCTTCCTCATCCTTATTTATCAAGAATGCATCAGTTTTTAATCTGGTGAACATAAATTGTCTAAAAATTTAAAATTCTCCATGTGACTTACCTGCCTAATTTTTGAATTCAAATTTTCATCAGTTAACCCAAAATACAGCACTTTACTCTTAGAAAATTGTTATATATCTCAGTTTTTCCACCTATTTAAAATACAGTTTGAGGGGTCGGCACTATGGCATAGAGGGTTAATGCCCTGGCCTGAAGTGCCGGCATCCCATATGGGAGCCAGTTTGAGACCTGGCTGCTCCAATTCCGATCCAGCTCTTTACTATGGCCTGGGAATGCATTAGAAGATGGCCCAAGTCCTTGGGCCCCTGTACCCATGTGGGAGACTTGGAAGAAGCTCCTGGCTTCTGGCTTTGGATTGGCACAGCTCCAGCCATTGGTGGCCAATTGGGGAGTGAACCATCAGATGGAAGACCTCTCTCTTTCTCTGCTTCTCCTCTCTCTGTGTAACTCTGACTTTCAAATAAATAATAATCTTAAATAAATAAATAAAATACCATTTGAATATTCCACCAATGTTTAGATATTTATCCAGTTTGGATTCATTCGATATTCAAGCTTCTATTTCTCAATTTTAAAAAAGATTTACTTACTCATCTGAAAGGTAGAGTGACACACACACGCAGAGATCTTCCATCCACTGGTTCATTCCACAAATGGCCATAACAGCTTGGACTGGTCCAGACTGAAGCCAGGAGCTAGGAACTCTACCCAGGTCTTTTTTGTGGGTGGCAAGAACCAAACTACTTGGGACACCTTCTGCCTTTCCAGGCACATTAGCAGGATGCTGGATCAGCAACACAGAATCCAGGACTCGAGCCAGCACTCCAATATGGGATGTGGGCATCTCAAGCAGCAGCTTAACCTATCATACCACAATACCCACCCCACTGGAAAAAGGGACACTGACCCACTGTTGGTGGGAATGCAAACTGATAAAGCCACTATGGAAGTCAGTTTGGAGATTCCTCAGAAACCTGAATATAACCCTACCATACAACGCAGCCATCCCACTCCTTGGAATTTACCCAAAGGAAATTAAATTGACAAACAAAAAAGCTGTCTGCACTTCAATGGTTATTGCAGCTCAATTCACAATAGCTAAGACCTGGAATCAACCCAAATGCCCATCAACAGTAGACTGGATAAAGAAATGATGGGGCATGTACTCTATAGAATACCACACAGCAGCAAAAAAAAAAAAAAAGAAAGAAATCTGATCATTTGCAACAAAATGGAGGAATCTAGAAAGCATCATGCTGAGTGAAATAAGCCAGTCCCAAAGGGACAAATATCATATGTTCTCCCTGATCTGTGACAACTAACTGTGCACCTAAAAAGAAACCTGTTGAAATGAAATGGACACTATGAGAAACAATGACTTGATTAGCCCTTGTCCTGACTGTTGAGGAACAACTTAATACTTTATCCCTTTTAGTATATTTTTTGTTCTACTTAATACTATTGGTTGAACTCTGTAATTAACACACAATTATTCTTAGGTGTTTAAATTTAACCGGAAAGTAATCTCTGTTAAATATAAGAGTGGGAACAAGAGAGGGAGGAGATGTACAGTCTGGGACATGCTCAATTGGACTTGCCTCAAACTGTAGAGTTAGAAACGTGCCAAGGGATTCCAATTCAATCCCATCAAGGTGGCATGTACCAATGCCATCTCAGTAGTCAAAGTGATCAGTTTCAGTTCACAGTTGATCATAATGATAGGATTAAGAGTCAAAGGGACCACATAAACAAGACTAGTGTCTGCTAATACTAACTGATAGAATTAAAAAGGAGAGAACAATCCAACATGGGAAGTGGGATACACAGCAGACTCAGAATGGCAGATGTCATAAACAGCACATTGGCCTCAGAATCATCCATTAGGGCATTCGGATGTGGCTAAAAAACCCATGAGAGTATTTCAGGCATGGAAAGCCAAGACACTGTGGCAAAAACAAAAACAAAACAAAACAAAACAAAAAAACCCACCTAAATGAAAGATCTCTGCAAGTGAGATCCAAGTGGAAAGAACAGGCCATCAAAGAAGGAGGTACCTTTCTCTGAAGGGAGGAGAAAACTTCCACTTTGACTATGACCTTGTCTAAATAAGATCAGAGTTGGTGAACTCAAAAGGCTTCCATAGCCTTGGCAACTCATGACAAGAGCCTCGAGTGATTACTGATGTCATAAAGAACAGTGTCAATTGTTAAATCAACAACAGGAGTCACTGTGCACTTACTCCCCATGTAGGACCTCTGTCCTTAATGTGTTGTACTATGTGAATTAACGGTATAATTAGTACTCAAACAGTACTTTATACTTTGTGTTTCTGTGTGGGTGCAAACTATTGAAATCTTTATTTAGTAGATACTCAATTGATCTTCTATATATAAAGATAATTGAAAATGAATCTTGATGTGAATGGGATGGGAGAGGGGGCGGGAGATGGGAGAGTTGCAGGTGGGAGGGAGGTTATGGGGGGAAAAAGCCACTGTAATCCAAAAGTTGTACTTTGGAAATTTATATTTATTAAATAAAAGTTTAACAAGTCATCAAAAAATACCCATCCCACTAATCAAAACTTTTAAAATACCAGTATTTCCTCAAGTAGAAATTAAAATGTGACCTTTGCCAGAGAAACTCTTTTTATTTATGTATTCGAGAGGTGGTAGAGTAACAGAGAGAGAGAGAGACAGAGACAGAGAGATCTTTAATCTGCTGATTCACTCACCAAATGGCCACAACAGCTGGAGCTGGGCAGATCTGAAGCCAGGAATTCTTTTGGGTCTCCCACGTGGGTGCAGGGCCCAAGCACCTGGACCATCTTCTATTGCTTTTCCAGGCCATAGCAGAGAGATCGAAAGAAGGACAGATGGGACTCAAACTGGCGCCGCAGGCAGAGGCTTAGCCCACTACACCACAGCATCAGCCACAGGAGAAACAGTGTTGCACTGACCTGCTGAACATCTCTCTAACTTCCCCTATGCTAGCACATAGGCTAGCATCATTACTTATTTGTAAATAAGTAAATAAATAAATTAAATCTTTCAAGGCATAGAAATCTATCCCTAACGAAATAGGAGGACAGACCTGTGAAAGCTGAAGGTTTTCATGGTTCGAATAAGAGGCAAAAACATTTCACTCTACGAAGATATTTCTTTAAATGTTACCTATGACTCTCCGGCCCATGAGAATAGCATTCCTGTACCTCATTTCCTTTTCACACTACTTCAAAGAGATATTGAGACTGCACAATTAAACCCAGATTCTAGAACTATTGGAAAACCGCTACATACGTTCATGCGTCTGTAGTGTAGATTTCACAGATGAAAATAAAGGGGCTAATATAGGAGCACCGTTGAGGCAGAGCATGAGAACTGAACAGCAGCGAGAGTGTTGAGGTTCCCCAGGCGATGGGGGTTCAAGAGAAAAACCATGAGGTGTCAGGACAATCAAGATACGGCAATATTTTAAACTGCAGACATTCTGCATCAAGGCAGATATTGTGAGCAAGAGGTCTGTGTTTTATTGAAGTCTAAACTAATTCCCCTTGTTTTATGCTACTGAATGGTTCATTTGCTTTGGGAGCCTCAGGGGGTAAAGGGGAGGGAAGCAAATTAAGTCAAAACTGCAAAGACTTGTTAAAACTACACAAGGTGTGTCTAGCTCTCTTATTGTTATATGATACACGGGAAGAAAAAAAAATTCTGTGGGAATTCCAGCCCGACTGACTCCATAACAATTCACAGCTGATTAAGTCAACCTCTGAAACATGCAATGAAAATACAGAGGAAACCAAACTTAATATGCAATAGCATAAACTTATTGTTTCATTTTCTGGAATTTGTGTTGGCACCAGGGTGAGACGTAGATGAAAAACTCCAAGAAAAGCAAAGGTATCTCTCAGTAAATCAGTGCATTTACAGATTAATGAAGAGCCAGACTTTGCTGTTAAGGGCTTAATGTGCAGTGATTATGAGCATGTGCCCCCATAGCATCAGTCACTTAGCGTTCCAATGGGGGACTCATGGATGTGCCTAGAGGAAGACTGAAATAGAAACATTTATGACTTTTGCATCACCCAACATACACAAAAACACATCCTCTCTTAATCCCTGTCTATAAAACTTTATTTATGTAATTATAATTTGGGAAATCTCAAGCATAAAACTGTACGTCTATTAAATATACAAAGGTTTTAGTGGACTGGAGACTGTAGCAGACTGCTTATTTTGGCTTTTCTTGACAGCAAATGATAAGGAATTATAAGGAATCCATATCTCTAAAGTTACAAAGTAAGTCCTAGTCATTTTTTGGCATCATTAGCAACATTGTGATGTCCCTTAAGAACAAAACACATAAATGTTCTCATGTCACTTACAGTTGTGTCAAGAAGGAAACCAAAATGAACTTGCAAAGTCATGCACCAGCTCAATTTTGGAGGGAAAAAAAAATTTCCTTTGAAGGAAACGAAATCAATCCCCAGTTCAAATTAAATTTGAACTATTCTGTGAAGCTCCAATACACAGCTCCAATAACAATCAGTACTTACGGACTTAAGGTGCAAGCAAATAATGTTTCATTTAAAAGAAATTGAATGAGGATTACCGACAGAGAAAGTTTTGATGCTATTTTGTCATTAGTTAAAGTTAAATCATGGCATTATTGGCTCAGTCTTGAACATCTCAATCTTTCTCTTTTTTTACATTTTTTTTTTCTTAAAGCACTAGGAATCCTTTGCCTGGTTGATCTTGTGTCATAATCTTATTAAAACCTTGTCATGCAGATGTATCATAAGTGTAGCATGTATATTTCTGTCTCATGCAAAATTTAGCTTGAATTCTACTGGCATGAAATACTTTATTATGTACAAACCTTCTGTTTGGTTTGCTGACATTCTTCTATGTTCTCATGGTGATTCATTATCTTGTGATATAGATTTCCAAGTATCATCTTTGTATTGATTTTTATATCTTTAATAACCACTCCACAGAAGATGGCTCCACTGGTGTCATTGATCGCATCAAAAATTCAAGGCTTACAGAAATACTAGAGGGCTAATTGGTAGCAGAACATTTTAGACTTAATCTTAATGCAGTCTTAATCTTCTGCATTAAATGTACCTGAAGGTTTCCTCTTGGAATCAACCAGGGGGAATTTAGTGCTTCATTGAAAAACACCTGGTGAGAGCATGCAAGAACATTGCACGGCCTTCAGACTTGATAGTGTCACATAAAAACATGCAAATACCCAGAGCAGTCTTTTCACCAGGGCTCCACATCTGAAATGTTCTTGGCTTTGCTTTTCTATAAACATGTGGCTCCACCAGGCCAGGTTTTCTCACAGGTTTGTCCCCAGCATTCTAAAGCAAGGACTACCATGAGGTTTGAAAATTTCTCCACTTAGCGATAAGGGGGATTCTTCTGTAGAAACACAGAGTGAACCATCCTGTGTGTGTAGATGGCTTTAAACAATACATTTAAGAAGCTTGGTGTAAAGTCAACTAGTCCAGACATCTCACTGTCTTCCTTCCCCACCACCCTGTTCTAAGAGCATATGGATCTGCTGTGGTAGTCAAAAACCTAACCAAGAGGGAGAAGTAAGTACATTCTGCCATGCTTCAGAATAACTTGGACATGAAGTTGAGATTTTGACTTATTTTATCTTTTCAAACAATTTTCGTGCCTCCTGCCAGTCACTGTACCAAAGCATAGGAGTACATAACATGGGATATGCCCTAGAGGCTCCTCCTTTCAGGAGCTTGTGGGCAGATGTGGAAAGGAGACTAGGAGACACCAGTCATTAACAGGAGGCAGGGCACATGAAGAGGTGGGCAGTGGACTTGGCTGGACCTGAGTTTGATTCCATCTCCAGATCTGGCGGCATTTGGCAGATCACTGTCCTCTTGAAAAATGGCAACAGTTAACAGTTTCTCCTTTTGTGAGAATAAAGTATATGAATGCACGAATGTCAGGTGTTGGGCATGCTACCTGGGCTCCATAGAAGCATTACGCACATTAGAAGACCATAAAGGAGGAAATCACATGTTTTGTTTTGTTTCCTCCTCATGGGAGCAACAAAAAGCCATTTATGAGCATGAGGAAAAGGGAGACCCTAAATGACAATTTGTATGTATTCTTTTCTTTCTTGGCAGGGTGTAAAAACAAAGAACTAAATGTCTGTCTAGTTCAG